ATAAATGCCGGCACACTTTCTTCGGGTGGGGGGGGGAGTAGGCAGAAGAGATGTCTGAAAGAAACTCTGTTAAATATTGGGATGCGGCATGTTTTCTAACCAGATTGTCATGCCTTCACTGCCCCTGCCCCCCCCCCCCCCCCCCCATATTAGGTGGTGCAATACCCCGGAGAGGACGTAAAGCACGAGGCCGAAACCCTTGGCTCTAGCAGGTGTCAATTGGTGAGAGAAATGCTCGGTTCTTCACACTGCTCCCGACTGCATTGGTAAATAAGCAAATGCTTCACTTTGTAATGACAATATAAGAAAGAAAGAATACTGTAGATGAATTTATTTAAATTATGTTTTCATGATTGTTTTTTATTTCGTTAGTATGGGGAAATTTTTTTTTTACAAAATTGGTAGTTCAAAGTTCTATTTCCATTAAATTGGTGTAATTGTACTTATTAGCTATTTTTTTATTGAATTATACTTGTATTCAATATTTTGGGGTATATTGCATTGTCATCATTTCTTGACTCACGTGCCAACTGTGAAATGAATCTGTCAGTTAGAAGTGCCCAAAATTTCGATAGACCAATTCGATCTATGACGACAGATAGCCTGTTGACAGTCTTGACGAAAAAAGCAAGTTAAATAAAAGCTTGCAAAAAAAATTCACATATAACAGCGTTTCGTTAAGCTCATCTCCTCACGAAAACATCAACGAATAACTGAGATACCGAAGGAGATAAGGCTCGTTATCAGTGTTTCTTCCAGACTTTTTCCCCCCGGTTTGGAGGGGGGGGGGGGCACTTGGGGAGGGGTGGGGGGTGGCCACTGTTGAAAGTATAAATTTTCTATATAAATTCCATTTCGTTCGGGGGGGGGGGGGCGATAGACTTACTTCGGGGCGGGGGCGGTAGACTTTCACGAATATGATTGCATGTAATCTGGATTTAAAATATTACTGTTACAACGTGATATACACTCGTATACAATGTATCACTTTATAATATTATTTTGCTTTAAGAAAAATACTCTAAACTCTTTAAAAAAAATAATTTTTTAAAAAATACAACTGTTTAAAATTTAAAACGTTTATAAAACTTAAATTAAACAATTAATAGGATAGCAAGAAACGCTGGCGACTGTTTAACAGAATAAAAGGTTATAGGTGCTGGTAATGAACGCATTAGAACCAAGATAGAAGAGAATGTGCCTAGTATCCAACAAATTCTTGCCTATTGTAAATAGTAATCTTGATTTAACAGGGTATTTTTTAAAATGTTTTGGTCATGCCTTTTTTGTGCATCTAAAGTGTTCTGTTAAGTTGATATGAAATTCTAATTTCCTGGATAAACAATAAGTTTACAGATTCGTGGATAACTTCTATTATGATTCTTGAAAATCATTAACAAGATTCATAGACCATGGGTGATACAATGCAGAGAATGTACTAACTTTTTACAATTTACCAACACTGAATTTTTTTTTAAACTTGACTATTTCAACTATATCTATACCAAATACAAAATGTGACACTATTACAAGAAAACCGTACCAATTAAATAATAAAGGGAATTTACTCCTGGTTACTATTATTGGTATTTAAAATGTTGGTTCTCTACCTTTATTTAATTGTATTTTCTTTAATTTTTTTTTATTTTTAATTTTTAATTTGTAAAACGCTGTTTTAAATTTTACAAAACTATTAAGAACTATCTTGTAAAAAGCATTTTGTAACATACAGCGAAAAGAATAAATACATTATATAAAGTTCTAAATGAATATAGAAAAGCTGAGGAAAAAGATATTAGATTTCCTTCTTTTCCAGAAAAAGGATTTTACTTTTTCAGTGCATAAAAAAGCATATTTTGGAATAATTTTTATTAGCTTTATTTTAAAAGCGGCGTATAATAAGTTTGATTTTTTTAAGTGTGTTAAATTTATCAGTTCTTTATGTGTTTGTGTGTTTGTTCAACCTCCTACTTCCCCCCTTAACTAGATATATTCCGTTTCCTAAACAATAACTTCTACTATTACTAAATAGTATACATAAATATTGCTTAATATTGATAAATATAGCTAAAACTTATCTCGAAAAAGTCTAATCAACACAAACAAAAAGAAATTCATGTTTAATTATGTCAAAAAACTGTCATTCAATTAAGTATATTTTTTTTTAATTTAATCTTTTATCAAAACAGATCGTTTAAAAAATATTCAAAGTATAAATGAATGCCCCCCCCCCCCCCCCCCCACCCTTTTTGAAATTATCCTCGCGGCAGATGGTTACATATCTAAATGCAATAATGTCAAAAATAAAAATTTCATTTATTCAAAAAGTGAAATTTTAAAATAGTGTGTGGCTGATGCAACGAGTACGTGAAAAAAAAATGTATAATCAAGTTTAAGCAACAACAACACATTTTTGGGACGGCTGTTGTTAGTGATTGTCTGAAACGTCCCCCTTCCCTTCACCCTATTCCGATGACGATAACCTCGGTACATCGAACTGTTATTAGAGATACCATAATTACATACAACTAGGTGTACCGCTATTCTTTTACAACGTGTAAGAAAATTTAACTTTGGGCTCCTGTAATTCTTTCAAAAAAAAAGAAAAAAAAAAACTATCATTAAAACTGATTGTTATTAACGAAAGAAAAATTTCTTCTCACTATACACCTTGGTGTTTAATAGCATGCACTAACTTTTTATATGTCTTCTATGTGGGTATAATTTATTACTAGTAGTAATACTACAGAAAAAAATTTCTAAGATAAGTTAGAGAAAAAGCTCTTTTTTTTTAAAGTATAGGAATGAAACACATACATAATAATACTTTGCAAAGGAATATCATTATTTTAACGTTGTGGCGTAGATACTTAATTAATTTTCTGCTCTAAAATTAAAGCCGCAGAATGACAGAGTCGGTGTAATAACACAGTGAACATTCACAATAGTTGTCTGTGTGATTATTTACGCAGAATTTTTTTTTGACGCGACAGGCACATGCACAAAACAACCACAATTTCAAACACAGGTAGCAATTAAGTTCTGCTTTTGGTACGTAAAAAAATAAATAAAAAACGATTGGACACAGCTAATTAACGACAAGTCTTTAAGTGTCAGACTGACCTAACGGAAAAATAGACAAAGCTTTTAATTATTGAGAAATGCCAACCAATTTCTAACACTGATCTATGCGAAAGTCAAAGCTAGACGTTCGGTAGTTTTGTTTTATGGTTGGCCCCTGTGACTGTAGATTATGTTTTAAGGAAGTCACATACGGCTTCTGATTTTAGTTGATGATATTACAAACACTGTTTAAAAAAAAAGATAAGAGAGTTAATTCAACAAGATGTTACAGAGTTATTGGACTTCACTTGTTCTTCTTGTGTTTGTATACCTGGTGATTGGTTGTTTCTCATTAACAGGTAAAACTGTTTTTAAAACAGGTTAGGCTGTTGTTGTTGTTTTTTAAAAGTAAGGCTGTTTTTAAAACAGGAGCGGCTGATTTTAAACGTGTAATGCTGTTTGTTAACAGGTAAGTGTATTTTTATACAGGTAAGGATGTTTGATGTAAAGGTAAGAAAACTTTAAAACAGGTACGGCTGTTGTTTTTTTTTTAATAAGAAAGTGCTGTTTTTAACAAGTAATGCTGTTTTTGTAACTGGTAAGATTGACACTTATCTCGCTAGTCTCTTTGAATTCTGTAAAAGAATAAACCGGGAGTGATCTCCCCTAAACTTTCTCGAATATTCTTATATAAAATAACAGGGGATGGGAACTCGGGCTATAGACATGATTTTTAATCCATTTTAAATACTTAAAGTTTTAAAAATAGAATAAAATCTCGTAGACAAATTAATTGCACACCAAGTGAACGCCAAAAAAAAAAGCGCATAATAGTGCGCAATACTATTAGTACTTTTAAAATTTACATTAGTTTTTTTAGAAATCGGAAGTAGCGTAAAGTACTACTTCCAGTCAACGGAAATTACTCAAAATTTAACAGAAGGTAGAGAATTAGATCTTTTACTTACATCTGAAATTTCATTTATCTATCTGAAATAGTACTCAAGTTATAGGCTTTTGAAAAATTCAAAGTAGGAAAAGTACCACTTCCGGTTATCGGAAATCGCTCAAAAGTTGATACGGATCTAGGATTTTGATAAAATACTAATATATGAAATTTCATCCACCTAGCTGTAACGGCATTCAAGTTATCGTGTTTACACACGGACAGACACACAGACACACACACAGACATACGGACAAGATTGCAAAATTATGTTTTTCCGTATCAGTGAGGTGTAAAACGTCGAGATTTGTAAAAATCTCGATTTTTTTTTTTGCACGATTACAATACTTTCTCTATACTTCGTATATACGAGAAAGTAAAAATTGTTACAAATGAGATTTAAAAGATGACGTGGAGAGTATATGTTGAAAATAATCCAATATTATCTTTTGGTGTCTACACCAACTGTTTAAGAGAGATTTTTCTGCCAGTATCGTATGTTATGGTTAAGGTCGTAGTCAGGGTAAAGTTCTGGAATGACTTCAAGTTAAGAAAACGGTTATTACAATAGCAGTAGTAGCAAAAAGGTTTGACGTAGACTAAAATTTTAGGGCCGATTCTGGCAGGAAAAAGATACGCAAACGCAATGGAGAGAAATTACCGCCTTCCTTCGTCGCGAAGTTTTCGATGGTACTGCGCATGCGTGTTTTTACAAACAAAACGCAGAACCCTAACCCTATCCCTAACCCTAACCCAATCCCTATCCCTATCCCTAACTCTTACCCTAACCCTAGCGCCGCTATTAAGGTCACTGCGCATGCGCAAAACTATTGAGTTTCGTATCTTCTTCCGAAAAATCTGTTTCCAAGTAGTCACTTCGAATTTTAAAAGACGTATTGACTTGTAAAAGTAAAATTAATGTTTACGAAGCACCGTAATTCCTGGTCCATACTGGTGTTACATGTCCACACCTCTTGTATCCATTCCGCAGTTAAGGTGAAGTATATCCACCACAAGATGTCCAATACAACTCTCCCTAATGAGGTCAACTTGACCGTCGTCACGGTTGAGGGCCAGTTTACCTTGAATTTAAAACCTGACCTTGACATTGACTACGACATTCCCGTAGTGACCATCAACGTGGATAAGAACGGGACAATCACCACCAACCAGGAGCATGTTATAGACATACAGGTACATTTATTTATATAATGTAAGGAGTCTCGTCATTTTCAGCACAACTAGTAAAAATGCCCGTAGTGCAAAAAAAAAAAACGGATTCTAGAATCAGTAATTGTCAAATAGTAATGTTTTTTGGTAATGTGAATGTAAAACATGTAAAGTAAATTTCATATTGCTATATTGTATTTTATAATATTTGCTTTATTTTTACTCAGTCGACAGCGTATTATCAGGATTCAGCATTCATCGCGGTCGTACAAGTCACTAAAACAACAGAGCCTAACAATGGTTTCCTTATGGTAAGTTCTTTTTACACATATAGCTATAATTCCGTCTTATTGAGGGGGTAGGTGCTCGTTTATCCTCATCATCACTAAGGACTAGACACACCATCACAAAATGTTTATACACTGAGGTCAGAAAGACAATATACCAACTCCGCTTCATCTGCCATTGTGGTCTAAGGCGGGGGGGGGGGGATATTCTACACTATTATATTTAACAAATCAATATTCTTTAATATTAACCAATATATATATATATATATATATATATATATATATATATATATATATATATATATATATATATATATATATATATATATATATATATATATATATATATATATAATTTGGTCATATGATAGGAAGGAAATGTTAACATCAATGGGGTGAGATACACATTTTCTGGAACTAACCGTAAAAAACGACATACGACAGAGGCGTGGGAGAGTGAGGAAGGGACATACAACCTGGTCAGACATCCGGAGCAACTGAAGTGGACATTTAACCACGACATGGTTCTGGAAGGTAGTATACAATAGACATGGTAGAATGGAAATGGCTGGTAGAGTGGAGAAAAACACGGTTCTGAGAAATCGGATAAATAGACGTTTCAACAAGTTGTATACAAAAAGATAAGGTTTTATAGAAAGTAGATTGCGAAGATGTGGTTCTAACAGATAAAGGAAAATAGAGGGATATCTGTGATAACATTTCCACAATAACGAAGTCTCGTTTATTAAAAAAGGGTCCTAAATTGCTTGTTATTTACTAAATACAGATAGTTAAAGTCCTACCTTAGCCCTAACCCCATTTTCTGACAATAACACTTAATCTGAGAATACAATACTGCTACTAACCCAATTAGCGATGGAGTGGTCGAATGGTAGAGCATTTGGTTACTAACCCGAAGGTTTCGAGTTCGAATCTCGGTTCAGACTTGTGACTGTAGTACGTCCATGAGTACACCCAGCTCTGATGGGTACCTGACTCACATCGGGGAAAGTAAAGGCGGTTAGGCACAACGCTTACTACACCCTCCCCTTATATGCCAAGGTAATGGCACATATAAACTCTACTTTGTCTTCCTTATGGAATTTCATCTAATAATAGACCATCTGATCTGAAATAGTTATAACTTCTTTTATCAAATAATGAATTTTTACTTTGTTTTCATCGCCGATCTTGTAAGGCCCAGAGCTGGAAACAAACGTCAACGAGTCGCATTCGAGCCTTCACAACATCGACAAGAGAAGCATCAACGTGTACTTCATCGACGTCGTCGTCTTCGTTGACTACTCGGCTTACGAGAGGTTTCTCAACGCTAAGGGCAACAAGACCAGCGCAATCAGAGAACTGTTTGCTTACTACGCCTTCTACTTCCATGATGTAAGTAGTTTCAGATACTGGCTGAACGAACTTCGAAGCGTTTGTAAGAATGATTTGATCGAGTAGTAGGGGACGGCGTGGTCGAGTTGGTAAATCTTATGGTTGCTAAACCGAAAAGTCTCGAGTCGATTCCGAAACTGGCTGAACGAGCTCAGAGTTCGTCTAAGTGCCTGTATGAATTATTTGGTCGAGTAGTTGGGGAACAGCGTGGTCGAGTCGGTAAAGCTCATGGTTGCTAAACTGAGAAGTCTCGAATTCGAACCTTAGGGCAATTAGGCTCGTCACCTGTGGACAGCAACTCTTCTAGGAAAGAAAACTCCAAAAATCAAACAACTGCCACAGTATATTTTGTTCTTGGTTGGACAAAGGCTATGGAAGCCAATCCAAAAAGACAAACAGGCTGAAAAGTCGGAGTTAATGGCCTGTATGGCGCTTAACAGGTTGTCAAGTAATACTTAATTGTGTTGGAATGAACACTGTCCAGAACGATGAAGAAAAAAAAATCGAGTTCAGCTCTTGAGTGAGGTACCTGGACTTGCGACCTCTAACAACCCTTATATCTGAACAGCTGGACAGGCGTCAGGCTGAGGAACAAGGACAGCTGTAACTATAGGGCTGGTAAGTAGGTCACCATGGCTCATGCAGGTTTTATTGAGCCGTAGAACTGGCTGATGACCTACTTACCAGCCCTATAGAGGCTCTGATAGCGAATGAGCTCAACTTTATATGCCAGTATTAACGGACAAGTTTTTTAAAGCTGTTTTTTTAGGGGGGGGGGGAGCTCATATCAGTATATTGATTGTATCTGTCTAATCCAGTAAATGCTGTGTATCTGTCTAATCTGGTATTTGATGTGTATCCATGTAATCCAGTATCTGCTGTGTATTTATCTATTTAATCTGTGTCTTCTACCAGGTCGACAGCTTGTACAAGGAGATGAATATCCCTGAGTTTATCATCCGCATAAATGTCATCAAAATAGTTGTTGCTGAGGTAAAAGGAAATATATATATATATATATATATATATATATATATATATATATATATATATATATATATATATATATATATATACTGAGAGAGAGAGGGAGAGAGAGAGAGAAAAGCACATCTTACTCTACAAACAGCTCAGTTTTGTACGAATACTAGTCGGTAGAATAACACACATTCACATTTCTAGTTCTCATTCTCCAACAATTTCCCTCCCCTACTCTACTCTTTGCATCCCTCCCTCTTATTTTTACAAGACTGAATTTCGGCTTCCCATCATCCGTTGCACGTCAAATCATCTCACACAAAAAAAAACACGTATCAACTACTCTAGAACGTCCTGTGATCCAACTTTAATCCTCTATCTCCAGACACCAGAGGCGGCGCCTTTCTCTGAAGACAACCGCATCCGTCGTGTCCACGGCATTAGAGACCAAGTCTCCACAGATCTGCTGCTCAAAGACTTCAGGGGTTACGTCTACGGGAAGTACAACCAGACGATTGGGGAACACGACCACGTCATGTTGGTGACTGGGTCGGTAGTTTTTTTTTTTTTACTTTTGTTTCGTCTCTTTTTTTTTTTAAATTTTTTATAATATTTTTTATGCAAAATTTAAAAAAAAATTATGTAACAGTTCCGATACTTTATTTTTTTAGTCGATATGGATTCTTAATTTTAGAAAACAATACAAAGAATCGGCACTTAGAATAGCTTTTATTTTATTTCATATAAAAATTCGATTTACTTTAGTAATTAGAAAAACAAAGATTAACGAATGAAATACGATCCTCATTGTATTTTTTTTCATCTTGATCATCAGTATAAAATATGAAGCAGAGAAACGCATTCTAAGGCTTTCATTGAAGGTTTAGACAGCTTAGAGTGAGGTTCTCAATGACAATGTATCCACACCTAAATTGTTTCATCCCTAAATTTGAAGCCTAATCTTACACATGCGTAGATTTACTTAGTTTAATATTTACCTATGGAAGCAGAATAGTTAATATGAAATCCACATCTCAGCTTTAAACTGTTGAGTTTTTTGTATCATAGATTGGACATGTTGGCTTCGGAAATGAATGTCACCACCGATGATATGGGTAAGCAGTTTGCCTACTGTGTACACATATGTGTAGGGCCTACTCAGTTCATTCATTTTCTGTTCCTTTTCACATACAATATCCCAAAGCTCATTTTCAACCGCTTTGTTTTAAAATGTCCCTAACATTTTTAACTTATATCTTAAGTATCATACACAAAAATATATTTTGTTATAAAGAATGATTATTTTAAACACTACGTCATGCACGGTTATCACGTGACAGGGATCGCCTATGTGCAGAGTATGTGTCGTGACGTGGAGCTAAGTGTGTCGGTGCTAGAGGACTGGGGTGGACATCAGACCATCAGGGCGGCTGTCCATGAGCTTGGACACAGGTCAGTTGTTGAAGGTTTTTCTGCTTCATTACATTGGGAATGCACATACGAATGAACATACTTATACACCATGCTTCCACCTCCATTTCCTACATTTACACCTATACATCCATACACCTACACAGAGGAGTAGCGATGGGGGGGGGCGGGGGGGGACATATGTTCACGGGCGCCGACCTTAGGGGGGCGCCAAATTGAAAGTTTGAGGGGGGGGGGTGTGCAAATGAAAAGTTCGAGGGGGGGTGCAAATCGAAAGTTTGAGGAGGGGGTGCAAATGAAAAGTTCGAGGGGCGGGGGCGTAAATCGAAAGTTTGTCCCCGGGCGCCGGGAGGGGTCGCTACGCCTCTGCACCTACACCTACATTTACACATCAGAAAATCAGCATACAACAAACATTAAAATAACAAATAGTAAAACCTTACATGTACACGTTCACTTACACGTCCACCTACTCTAAAGTAAAGTTTCCCTTTCAACCCTGACGGTCTATGGGGCAAGTGAAGTAGAGTTCACTTGTTTCTGCATATGAAATTCGGCATATGAAGAGATAGTGTGCTCAGCACTTTGCCCAGCCGCCTTTACTCGAACTCGAGACTTTCTGGTAAGCAGTCCAGCTCTCTACCGCTAGACCACTCCGTCCCGCCACCTAATCTACTTACATTAAATCTTTCACTCCAGCCTGTCTGCGCGGCACGACAAAGACGTCAAAGGTTGCCTAGCAACCGACAACTACATCATGACCCCCGTCCTGTCGCTGGTGGACAGCATGAAGTTTGGAACCAACCCCTGGCGGTTCTCAAGTTGTTCCATCAAAGAGATCAAGTCTTACATCGACGCCTTGCTACAAACTGAGTCAGTCCTTGTGTCTTTAGTTAGATATAAAGATTTTTTAACTTTATAGACTAGGGTTCTCAAGTTTCATTGGTTAATGAAAAAAGAGGGTACTTGAAACTTCCTTTGGGCAAATTAAAAATTTCAGAGAGGCGCACACTCATTAATGTGTATGTTCTATATATATTACATACGTTTTTCTATATAGTCTAGAGAGACCATTGTAGAGCATTTGGTGTTGAGCTCTCTATTGCTACTTTAAGTCAGTGCTGTTGTAGTTCTTCACTAGTAGCACCAGGATACATCCAACAGACAAGAGTCGGCAAAGAATGCCTAACAAACAAATATTTATAATCCATCAGAGACGGCAAAGAATGCCTAACAACCAAATATTTATAATCCATCAGAGTCGGCAAAGAATGCCTAACAACCAAATATTTATAATCCATCAGAGTCGGCAAAGAATGCCTAACAACCAAATATTTATAATCCATCAGAGTCGGCAAAGAATGCCTAACAACCAAATATTTATAATCCATTAGAGTCGGCAAAGAATGCCTAACAACCAAATATTTATAATCCATTAGAGTCGGCAAAGAATGCCTAACAACTAAATATTTATAATCCATTAGAGTTGGCAAAGAATGCCTAACAAACAAACTTTTATAATCCATCAGAGTCGGCAAAGAATGTCTAACAAACAAACTTCCCTCCAAACACAAAATGCCTGACGTCAGCCACCTTCTGTTGGGACAAATCCTTCCATTAGAGACCCAGTGCAAAGTCCTGTACGGGAACGATTCCTTCTTCTGTAGTGTAAGTTTTTATTCGGTCTGTGATGTCCTACAGCTAGGTTTTAAGAAAAGTTGAAATTGTGCAGTTTTTTTTATTAATGTTAGTTTGTGGAATATAAAAAAACGTTATTTATTTATTTTTTTTCAACACAATTTACATTTTTTTTAAAATTGTATAAATTTAAATGTAAATTTTTGGCAATATTATTTATTTTTTTTCTTTTACGCTTTTTAAAAATAATGACTAAGATTGAGAATAGTTTGGAGTTGAGGTTTTGACAAGGACAAATTTAGACAAGATAAATACTCGGGTTTGGTCTTGGGTTAGAGATTATAGCTGTGAAGTAAAATGGATTACCTATGTAACATCAGTACAGATGGGTGGATGTGGCTAAGAGGTTTTGCTAACCATCAAGTAATCCCCCTCCCCCCTGTTCAACTGCTGCTAGGTGTGTGTGGCTAACAGACAAGTAACTCCTCCCTCTTTTCACCTGCTGGTAGGTGCTGTACGACGACAACGAGGCTGTGTGTAAGTTCATCTACTGCTCCAACCCACAGCGACCAGAGAGCTGCTACAGGAACGAGGTGGCCACTGGGACCACGTGTGGCAATAAGAAGGTAACATATGGTCGTGTGGTAATACGAAGGTAACATATGGTCGTGTGGCAAAAAGAAGGTAACATATGGTCGTGTGGTAATAAGAAGGTAACATATGGTCGTGTGGTAATAAGAAGGTAACATATGGTCGTGTGGCAAAAAGAAGGTAACATATGATCGTCTGGTAATAAGAAGGTAACATATGGTCGTGTGGTAATAAGAAGGTAACAAGCAGTCGTGTGGCAAAAAGAAGGTAACATATGGTCGTGTGGTAATAAGAAGGTAACATATGATCGTGTGGTAATAAGAAGGTAACATATGGTCGTGTGGCAAAAAGAAGATAACATATGATCGTGTGGTAATAAGAAGGTAACATATGATCGTGTGGTAATAAGAAGGTAACATATGATCGTGTGGTAATAAGAAGGTAACATATGGTCGTGTGGCAAAAAGAAGATAACATATGGTCGTGTGGCAAAAAGAAGGTAACATATGGTCGTGTGGTAATAAGAAGGTAACAAACAGTCGTGTGGCAATAAAAAGGTAACATATGGTCGTGTGGTAATCAGAAGGTAACATATGGTCGTGTGGTAATAAGAAGGTAACATATGATCGTCTGGTAATAAGAAGGTAACATATGACCGTGTGGCAAAAAGAAGGTAACATAAAGACGTATGGCTATAAGAAGGTAGCACAATATATTGTGGCTTAAAGTCGGGTATGATACAGTATCTTCGTACTGTATAACGTACGCTGCTAATTCTAAACCCACAAGTTCGGATCAAAAGTCCACCCTGCTCTAATAGGTACCTGACTAACGTTTAGGAAAGTAAAGGCGGCTGGGAATACTGCTGACCACACTATCTTTCCATATGCCGAGGTGACAGAAACAGATGAACTCTGTTTCATCAGATGAACTCTGTTTCATCTGCCCTCGTGGACCGCCAGATTCAAAATTGTTAGTTTACAAAGTCGTTACAGAAAATGTGATTAATTAGAACAAACTGAAAAGGGTGTTTCCAAAAGATTAAATGTATACATTTTTTTAAAATGTGTTTTATCTAAGCTCAAATTCCAAGAAAAAAAAATATTTAAAAACAATTTTTTTTTTAGAAAATACAATTATGTAGACCTACCATGATTAACATGTTACTGTAAAGCGTAGTAGGCTATTGTGTTATAAACCGAAGTATCCCAATTCTCAAATATATAACAATATAATAGTTTGTAAAATGAATACAAAATGTGTTGTCTTTTTAGATCTATGCGGGTCTGTTTATTTATTTGTTTGTTTTTTCGCCTTTTGTTTACTTCCATGTGATCAAATGATGTTTCAGGTGTGCTTATACGGACAGTGCGTCTATCACCCTAAGGCCCCAACTGCTGATGGTAACTCACACTAACTTCACCTTATTCTACTGACTGTTGTAATTTATAGTAAGAAAAACTTACAGTAATGTAATCAAAACGTGATGTTGCTGTGATGTAAACAGAAATGTGATAGTAATGTAAAGTAAACTTGACGGTAGGCGTAGGCAAGGTTGGGGGGGGGGGGGGGGTTATAACCCCTCTCATGGACCCCGACCCCTATATATATATATATATATATATATATATATATATATATATATATATATATATATATATATATATATATATACAGTCATATATATATATAGATATATATATACATATATATATAGTCATATTCATAGTCATATATATAGTCATATATATATATATATATATATATATATATATATATATATATATATATATATGTGTATATTTATTTATTTATTTATTTATTTATTTATTTATTTATTTATTTATTTATACATATATACATTTTGAACCCCTCCCACGACCAATTCCTGGCTACGCCACTGGATAGTACTGTACCGTATACATGACACTATATTTCCGCTATGTCCGCCCCCAGAGGACTGTTTATTCGGCGAGCAACAACTGGAATTCACAGAACACCGGATGTCATGCAAGGAGTACGCGGCCTCCAAGAAAATGTTGTGTTACGACAGGTCGTTCGCCAGGAGTTGCTGCATCACCTGCAGACAGCTAGCCACTGGACCACCAGGTACCACGGGGCTGGGCTGTGACGGTTTCAATCGGCGTGGTCGAGTCGGTACAGTTTATGGTTGCTGAACCGAAAAGTCTCGAGTTCGAACACTCGGGCAGATGAGGCTCGTTAAATGGAGACAGCCACCCATCTAGGAGAGACAACTCCGAAATCAAACAACTGATGTCTTGTAGTTTCTTCTTGGTTGGACAAAGGCTATGGAAGAAAATCCCCCCCCCCCCCAAAAAAAAAGCAGGCTGAAATCGGAGTCAGTGGCATCAATGGCGCATAACCAGTTGACCCGTATAATTGTGTTGGAGGGATACCTTCCAAAACTAAAATTAAAAACGAAGGAGAAGATAAAGAAAGACAACACGATACAACGCACTGTTAATAAAGGCTTACTTTATTTTTTCCTGTTTCGATACACTACCCAGTACTGTCCTATTCGCTTTTTTCCCCTTAGACTTGTATAGCATACATGTTGCAAGTGTCGACGCGTTATTACAGCGCGTTTACACTTGCGATATGTATACTATACAAGTCTATAAAAAAACTCGCAGCTATTCATGGTCCTTGTGGAAAAAATGTTTTTATATAACATTAACTTTTCGCAAGGTTTTTAGGAAACAAAAAAACAGTAATATTCATAATTTTAATTATTGAAAGGGGTAAAATAAGTATTTTGTTGCAAAAAATATATTTATTGTTTTCATTATTTATGGTGTAAAAACAAAGCATTTTCTTGGCAAAAAAAATTAAGTGTTTTAATATTTCTGATGTAAAAAAAAAGGATTTTCTTGCAAAATAAATAATAATAACTTACGAAGTTTCTTGTAAAATAAATAATTATGACGCACGAAAGGCAAAACTAATCAGGTTTGTGAACTAACTAGGGTGTGAGTATGGCGACAAGAAGATTGGCTGCTCGGCCTTCTACTGTCTTTATGGAGGAAAGTACCTAGACGACTGTTGTAAGACGTGTAACAGCACGGTCAAAGCAACTACCCGCTCGACCACTGAAGTTACGGAAGTCAAGAGTACCTCAATTACAGGTATGAAGTTTGTCGGTATTCTTTACTCACATACAGGCACGCACATATATATATATATATATATATATATATATATATATATATATATATATATATATATATATATACACATAGAGAAACACATTCAGAAGCAAGCATACACACAGACATTCAAACACACACTTACGCTTACACAATTACATACAGTCATTCAAATACATATCAGCTCACAGACGTATACACAGACATTTAAACACTCACACACCCATACACACTCGAACACACATATAAGCAAACTCAAAAGCAATTACACGTGTAATACGTATATACATAACATACGCATGAGTTACACATTTAAAAGTCAATATCACAACACGCACACATCGAACACATTAATATGTAAACAACACATGCTCAAGCACAAAAATAAAACAATAAAACCTAAACATATAAAATATATATCTTCGATATTAATGCACACACATACACCCATACTCAAACATATAGCAAACTCACAAAACATACCTACGCATACAAACTCACAGACACACAGACACACAGACACACACACATATATATATACATATATATATATATATATATATATATGTGTGTGTGTGTGTGTGTGTATATATATATATATATATATATATATATATATATATATATATATATATATATATATATATATATATATATATATATATATATATATATATATATAGTTCCAAAAAAATTACCTGACTGCTATTCTCCCACAGCCTGTGCAGACAACCACACTTTCTGCAGGGACAAGGTTCGAATCTCACCAAATCTCTGTTACAACAGCACGATGCTACACTTCTGCTGTGTGACCTGTTCACATTTCCACACAGGAGAACCAGGTAACGCTTGTAGAAAGTATGGCACCGACTGTTGAAAGCAATTTTTATCAATGCGAGAGTCGTGTTTTTCTATGAAATGTTTTTTTTTTGTAATAGATGTGGTTACATTTTAAATGAGCGTTAAAATCTTAAACTTTTAGAATACCATTTAGACCCGACTGTTTAAGGGGCAGATGAAGTAGTGTTCATCAGTTTCTTTAAACTTTTAGCGAGTGTGTGATATACACACAGCGAAAAATACTTTATTTAAGTCATTTTAAGGAACGTACTAAACACTCGAGTTGGGTACCCATTATAGCTGAGTGGACTGATTTCAAGCCACAAATACCCAGCTGATTTCCTATCTTTTCAAAAGATTAGATTTCTCCCAATCCAGCAGAAATGTTAAAAAACTGACCATGTGTTTAAACAGTACAAAAACTTGACCATGTGTTTAAACACCACAGGTTGTGAGTACGGTGACAAGGTGTTAGGGTGTATGGACCAGTTCTGTGAGTTCCAGAAAGGACTGTCCAGGGACTGTTGTAAGACATGCAACACCAGCGGTCTAGTGACGTCACCTACCACCAGTAACATGACGTTATCCCACCAATCAACCTCGATCAGATACACAGACGTCATGACGACACACCTATACAGTAATGTTTGGTTTCACGTCCTTAATTTTTCTTCCAATTTATGATAGTGTTGACAGAAAATGAAAGATACTATTAAAAGTCCGACATATGTAATCAGTTAATTTAGAGAAACCAAGACTTATTAAATCGGGCTTGGTTAAATAAAATGATCAAGTTAAACTTACTGCAGCTAAAGTAGGCCCTATATAAGAAGTGACAATGAAATGCATATAAGTAACGTTTCCCTTTCAAACCAAACGGTCTATGGGGCAAGTGAAGTAGAGTTCACTTGTTTCTGTGACCTCGGCATATGAAGAGATAGTGTGGTCAGCACAATGTCCAGCCGCCTTTACTTTCCCTAACGTGAGGTACCCATCAGAGTAGGGTGGGCTCAGGGACGGTCTACTGACTTGAACCCCGATTCGACCTTGAGACTTACGGGTTAGCAGTCCAACTCTCTACCGCTAGACCACTCCGTCCCTCGAAATGCATAATAATATGATAATTTAAACAATAAAACACAAAATTATAGGTATTTGAATAGCTGCTTTATTGCTTAGAGAAAAATTTCAAACTCGACCATACAGGAACGCGGGGGTTGGGGGGGGGGCATCATTTTAGTTAACATATATATATATATATATATATATATATATATATATATATATATATATATATATATATATATATATATACATATATATATATATATATATATATATATATATATATATATATATATATATACATATATATATATATATATATACATATATATATATATATATATATATATATATATATATATATATATATATATATATATATATATATATATATATATATATATATATATATATATAAAGTAAACCTACGGTGATCATCAAAGTATCACCAGCCCTTGTTACTGCGACAGATGTCATATTCAATCACATGTTGATCAACCAATCAAACAAAAACAAAATTGAAACTTTTTTAGTAATGGTATTAGTTACACAGAAATGTAAACATAATTGAAACTTTAGCCCTATGTTTTTTCTATCGAAAGCTGAGGCAACTCAACCCCCGGTCCTGTCAACCCATCAACCACCGACTCCGTCCACCGTTGACCCCGCGGGTCAGTCAACCTTTCAACCCGCGGGTCAGCCAACCCTTCAACCCCCGGCCATAGAGACATCAGTGTCGTCACTTTATCCTGACCAGACCGCTAGACATCCTGATGTTAAGGCTTCTCAACCAGAAGGTAAAGGGTTAACATAAGATATTTGTGTATTCAGTAACATTGGAAGATAGTAAGGGCATAATACATTTGTAAACATACATATGTGGATGTGTACCTTTGTGCAAATGTGGGGGTCTGGGTATATCTATATATGCGTGTCTATATGCGACAGCTACATATGTTGTTTTCTAAAAAATACTTTGATTGGGTTGTAATTATAGGCAGTGGCGTAGCGAGGTCGGGTGTCACCCGGTGCGGCACTTAATGGTGTCACCATCCCAGAGGGATAGCGACCCTTCCCTTTCGATTTGCACCTCTTAAAAGACTATTTAACACTCGAATTAATCACTTAATTAAGTGGAATTATCATTTTTCTCTATATAATTTGCTATTTTTTTGCCTTTGTGTCACCCCCCCCTAAATGGTGTCACCCGGTGCCGTCCGCACCCCCCCCCCCACGCTACGCCTCTGATTATAGGCCCTACACCTGGTTTAAATTACTTGAATCGTATATTCTATTTGACTTACTTGTTTCCTTATTTGCAGTACCAATTCATTTGTTTGACTTGAAGTAAAAAAAAATATCTATGCAAAAACATCTGATTTTCCTAAAACACCGTTTAATAAAGTCGCCAAAAAAAATACCAACTTAATGACTTTATCTAACCCTTGATAAAATTTTATTTTTAAATCACCCGGATTTTTTAAATTATATTTGAATATGTCATAGTTAACAAACTATAAACACGTTAAGCGAACCCAGTTATTATAGCGTCCACAGTTGGCTCATCACGTAGTGCTTTATCATCCCCAGGCGCATGTGTGGATAAAGGTGACAGCTGCCTAGCAAGGGTTCGAATCTCGCCGAGTGTGTGCTACAACAGCACTGTACGTCACACCTGTTGCCGCTCCTGTGCCCAGGTTGTCACTGGCAACCCAGGTATGTCAAACCAATCACATTTATCCATGTTTAACTAGTATGCGGATATCGTGTATACATATGTATCGTATATATATATATATATATATATATATATATATATATATATATATATATATATATATATAATAAACTATATATTTGTGTATTTAAATATTCATTTGTATAGGCCTAGTGTGCATTTTATTTTTATATGTATGCGAAGATCATTTATATGTGTATATGGTAAGTGTATAATATTAAATAAATATGTAATAAATGATACCTGTGCATATATTTATATATATATATATATATATATATATATATATATATATATATATATATATATATATATATATATATATATATATATATATAAACATATATATATATACAACATGTATATGTTATGTATGTATGTCCACATTTTCCCCAGGTTGTGAGTACGGCGATCATGTGCCAGAAGTCTGCACGCTCTTGACGTCCTGTGCTGGTCTGTCAGACGTCTGCTGTGCCACATGTTCGTCCGGCTCGCGTCAACACCCCGGCTTGCTGACCTGCGTAGTTTACCTGGCCATGCTGTCCGTTGCTGCCCTGCTGTCCGTTGCTGTCCTGCTACGTTGATTTTTTTTTTCAGAATTTTTGTTTTTCCAGAGCATTTTTTTTTTATTTTTTTAACGCTATAACAACATTGTCTTAGATTTTTACATTAGAACTATAAAACTATAAAATATTTGTTTCACTAAAGTCTACTAAATACTTTCGTTACTAACTTGGTTTGAATTATTGAAGTTTTAAAATTATAAATAAATTGTACTTTTAACTATAATTTTGTGTCTTTTGATTAGTGAAAAATAATGTGTGCATATTCTAAGTTCTGAAAGTATTCGGAATACGATATGTATATATATATATATATATATATATATATATATATATATATATATATATATATATATATATATATATATATATATGCATATATATATTGGGTGTGTGTGTTTGAATGTGTGTGCGTATATTAATATATAGTGAGGTCATCTCGCTTAGTAAAGACCGAGTCCTATAATTGTTAAACTGATTCTAACACAATTCAACACGCCAACGGATAAGCCATAATTTAAGCTTAACTTAGTTTTAACGACTAATTCAAAAGCTCAGTCGTAAACTAACCATCCCTGATCACAACCATTAACCCTATTTCTTATCTTACACTAATTGTTTTTCTCTAATTTTTGTTTCTCTAATGCCTGAGATAGACGCTTCTAAATCTTAAATACTATGTAGGTGAGAGGGTCTAAAAAGTGGAAAAAAAATGTTCTTAGAAAAGGGGTCGGCATGCGGCTCTTTTGATGTCAAGATGCGGCTCTCCATCTCCTTGCACAAATATTAATAGTTTTATTATTTTATTTTCAAAACTCGCAAAAAAACATTATACTGTAAAGAAACACACAAGTTTAAACAGAAGAATAAAAACTCATCACAGAACAGTGCGAACATGTGCACTAGAAACTATAGCCGCTTAGGCACCAGGCCCAGCCCCACATCCGTGTTATGGCCAGCCCCGTGGCGACGGTTCCATGCTTGCCACTGCCCAAGTGTCGACTTTTTAGAATATCGTTAAAAAGGGCATGTTATTTTATTCAGAATGCATTTCCCCATCCGTCAGTAATCATTAATTTGACGTGAGTGATGTAGTTTTTTTAGTTATTAGCTTCCTATTGTTGAACCGGGTAGTGGACAATGGGGTACGAATTTACCCTGCGTTCAGTGGGGTGGAAGATAAGCCTGGCGAGAACCAAAGGACAGAAGTGACCGGTAATCAAACAAATATCCAAAACCAGTTGGTCGGATTTTATTAAGGCCTGCCTGGCTAATGGTAGACCGCTCCTGAGCCGGTGATGTCCGAAAAGAAAGAAAAAAAAAGTTAACTGCTTCTAAACTGGATTGGGATAGTCCTATATTTTTACTTTTTGTTTACTAATTTCATTTTTCTGGCGAAACTAGTGTAAGGGGCTGGGGAGTTATTTAATTATTATTTTATTACAAAAAGGTGAATGTCGCTTTTTGTGTTCCGTTGAGGATTGTTGTGGTTTTTAGTTAAGTAGTCTGCTATTATGGCGCTGATATGATTTTGATTTAAAATGGTTTATAGCCTAGTTACTTTGTCTTGTTTATATTTTGATGTTATTATTTATGCAAACTTTTTTTTGGAGTGTGGCTCCACTTTGCTTTATGTCCTGAATGTTAGTTATTGTTGTATTAGGGACTATTGTGCGTAGTATTGGTTTTTTAGTTCGTGAATGTGGTGTGTGGACAGGGAGAGACATTCTGCTGGAATGTTGAGGCCTGTGTGTTGAAGAGTTTCTGGGTCACATTTATGTGGTGTATGGGCTGTAGTCCGAAATTGGGTGTTTTGTTCCGTTGAGTTCTGTTTTTGTTTTGTATGTCTTGAGTGTTTTGTTTTGTCTAGTTTTTTATATAACTTTTGGCTCCATATTTTTGTTAAATAAATTTTATTATATTGTTAAAGTTTTTTGTTCTTATTTAGACTAAGGTTAAGGATAAGATTTAACCACCGTGTGTTTCACCACGGTTGCACTGACCAAATTAGTTAGATAAACCTAGAAGGGTAGTAGAAATAGTTATCCCCCCTAGCAGGGCTTACACAAGTGTATGTTTTCATATGAATAAATATTATTTCATATTTAAAGCTATTTATTTAAAATAAATCAAATCTATGTACCTATTCCTAATCAAATAATAAAATATTGAAATTTAAAAAATGTTTGTGGCTCTTTAAAAACTGGGAAATTTTGTAAATTGTAATTTTTGGCTCTTCATTTTTTTTTTATTGCTTCAGACATGTAATTTACAGCGTCAGTTGTGTGTTCGCTTTAGTATTACAGTTTTTTATGTATTTATTTTTTTTATTATTTTTTTTTTTATAAACGGTAAAAATTTTAATGGGCTAGGGCCTACTTATTGAAACTAGAAATCGACTACATTATATTTGTTAGATTGAAATCTATACATATCGTATCTTGATTTAAATAAGGTTTTTAATTGACACAAATTATAACAGTACTATTTTGATCAAATATATATTTTAACATTTATTATAAAATTTAAATAATCATACTTATTACAATTAAAATAAAAAACAATTTACATTATTCTCCCAAAACTATTTAATTTTTCTGTATTATTGACGAATAAGGGAACATTGTTTTAGGTTATCTCTCTTGACAGTTTTTCAAGTAGTAAATAAAATGTAGTATCAAATATCTATTTCTAAGTTTGGAAACTACTGTAATGCTTTTTCAAGATAGAGAAAAATTTGAGGTTTGGGGGATAAAAATCGAAAGTTTGAGGGGGGGGTGCAAATCGAAAGTTTGAGGGGGGTGCAAATCGAAAATTGAAAGTTTGTCCCCGGGAAGGGTCGCTACGCCTCTGGGGGGGGGGGGGGGGGAACACCATTAAGTGCCGCACCGAGTGATACCCAACCTCGCTACGCCACTGGATTCTAGTATGTCGTATACGCTAATTAGTTCATGTAGACCTGATTCTAGTATGTCGCATAAGCTAATTAGTTCCGGTAGTTATAAGGTCACAGGACAAGTATGGGAGAACAAAACACAATAAATTTGTTTTTGTACTTTACTTGATCTTAATTAAAATGAATATAAGTATTAAAATCATTACATTCCGACTTAAAAGTGGTAGTTGCTAAGAGTTAAAAAAAATTGGTGTTTAAAAAATAGAATCATTGTTAGAGTTTTCCAAAACAAATATTTATTATTATCCTGATAAGTATTTATTATTATTATTATTATTCTGATAAATATTTATTATTATTATCCTGAGAAATACTTGTCCAATATATTACGAGTAAAGTAATAATATATAGCTTGTACAACGCTATACAAAGAAACTTTTTTAAAGATAATTTTGGTAACTAAACTCAGAAATAAATGATATTTCCAGTGGTGTACTGTAGTGTTAAAGACGCCAGAATTACCAAGGTCACGATATCTTGGCGTTTTCCACCCCCCCCCCCCCCACATTCTGTTTCCCAAGTAGAATGTATATAGAAAATATATACTTTTACCTTTTCCGACCGTCACCGAAAAATTTAGTCTACCCACCCCCCAAAGTTTCAATTGTCCCCCCCCCCTTTGTCCCCTCCCCCTCCCCCGGAGTCTGAAAGAAACACTATCTACCACTGTTTATGTTTCCTTTGTTATATTTACAACATTACATTTAGCAGCGAAAAAAATATATATGAGAGTTTAATCCCTGAACAAAAGGCTAAAAATAGAGTGTATAAAGATGGCGACAGAGAGTAAATGCCAGTGTGGACCTGGGGTTTGACCACTGGAACATGTGGCACAGCAGATTCCAGACCAACCATCGCATGTGGTCAGAAGATGGCATTTCTCGGGGATGAGGTCACCATATTCACATCCTGATGAAACAGACAACATATTAATTTAAATTAATTTCAAGTTCAATTTATTACATTTTATTGTTCAATTTCTCTGGAACGTCCCTGAGTCCACCCAGCTTTAATGGGAACCTCACTCACGTTAGGTCAACAAAGGCGGCTGGGCATAGTGCTGACCACACTATACCGTCATTAGCCGAGCTCTTTGAAACAGATGAACTCTACTTCATCTGCCCCATGTGTCATGGGCACTAACGGAAAATGATGATGGGTGATTGCTCAATTAACAATAACAAAACTTAACGCTGTTGGTCAAAATTAATTAGGAAAACTAAAAATGAGTTAATTAATTTTATAATAAACACATTGCTTGTGTACTGATGAGATGTAAACGAAACAATTATTAAATGTATGATTCTGTTAAGTGTAGTCTTTATAATAATGGTAATTAATTACAAATATAATTAAGTCTAAATAACTTTTGAGGGAACACTCATTCAGCACCGGTTAATATCCTAGTAGACAGAGGCGTAGCAAGGGGGTGGGGGGCGGGGGGGGGGGGGGGGGCGGAACGCACCGAGTGACGCCATTTAGGGGGGGGGGGGTGACACCAAGGCAAAAAATAGTAAAATATATAGAGAAAATTTTGAGGGGAGGTGCAAATCGAAAGTTCGAGGAGGGGGGGTGCAAATCGTAAGTTCGAAGTGTGGGTGCAAATCGAAAATTGAAAGTTTGTCCCCGGGAAGAGTCGCTACGCCTCTGGGGGTGACGACCATTAAGTTCCGCACCGGGTGACACCCGACCTCGCTACGCCACTGCTAGTAGAAATAAGCTCTTTGTAATATTTTACTGATAATAAACAAAGTTAATGAAGAGCATGTCCTCATACTGTAGAACTCCTCCTATTTTACCCCAACACATGTTAATATCTTAACAGGTATACGCACAGAGGAAGATGATACAGATAATAAATTAAGCTGACACAGTGCTGTGTCTATATAAAATAATATTACGGTAAGACACCTGATATTTTTACCTTTATTCCCTGTAATGACCTGGGAACAGGAGCGACAACACGACTGAAGAACTGAACTGTTGTAACACAAACTTGGGAGGATTCGAACTCGTCTCATGCAGTCTTTGTCTGGCACATCTTCACAGCCTGGTGGGAATGGTG